CGAACAGCTTCTGGATCATGTGGCTAGCATGACTAAGCCGCTTCTGGCGAACCAGAGCAGCGCACAGAAACGCCATTTACCTTCCCACTGGAGCGGTACCTATTTATCTACTTGCACTTTGACGTGCTTTCAAACTGCTAGGTTGGCAGGAGCAGGGACCGAGCAACGGGAGCTTACCCCGTCGCAGGGATTCGAACCACCGACCTTCTGATCGGCAAGTCCTAGGCTCTGTGGTTTAACCCACAGCGCCACCTGCATCCCTTATCCACCCCTAGCACTCCCTAAAATATGCTCTGGAGGGTTTCCCAACTCTCTGGAACAGAATTTGAGGGTGTACGAGGGAGCTTCATGGGGGGGGGGAGGAGGAGGAGAAATTCCTCTGCACAAGCAGAAGTATGTTGCTCAAGTGGAACAGCGGCATTGAGTGAAGCCCATTTAATACATTTCAGTCAAAAGGAAAGTGGATTAGAATGCGTAAGAGATGATCTACTAAAATGGCAATTTGATACTTACATGAACTCGCATAGTGGATATGAATACAATGGCACTGCAAGACATTGGCAGGTGCGGAGGATATTGGTAGTAATATATGTTAGCCTGTGCTCTTATTGTACAGGGTGTTTATAGCAAAACTGCACTCTTGCTGTCCAGATGCTGTCCTCACAATTGCAGGAAACAGAATCCCCAAAGCACCAATAAACACATGCCAAATAAATGGGATGCATCCATCTTTCCACCATCTGAATAGTGTGCAGTTAGTTACAGAGTGATCCTACAGATGTTGCACTCGGAAGGAAGTCCAATATGCCTTTGTAACTGGGTTTCGTGCTTTGGCCTTAAGCGTGTGAAAAGTAAGAATTAGTATGTTATAGCTGCTCTTGGGAACATCCTGTGGGCAAAGTCTTGCAAGTGCAGCCACAGTGATAGTTCACTACCATTGCCTGGAGGACAGGGCTTGCGACTGCTGTGTGTGTGTGTGTGTGTGGTTCCCTTTTATTAGTCACTAAGCTAAGCGACCTATACAGCATTTTTTATAAGAAAATAAAAAGAAGGGAAAATGAAAAGGAAGTCAAGGCAGAAAATCCTCATGTAATATCCCTTGATCTTTGAAATTGCTTCATCGATTTATCAAAGTACATAACATGTCTGTTTAATCAGCTGCTGAGCTGAAATCAGATGAACTTATTCTTAAGACCCATTGAATGCAATACAATAACCAGTCTTCACCAACCTGCTGCCCTCCAGATGTAATACAATACAACTCCCACCAGTCACATCGGGCATGGCCCATGCTTTACAGCAAGCCAGACCACCTGTCCATCTAGCTCAGCATTGCTCAGATTGGCAGTGGTTCTCCCCTAAGTGATAGTCCAGTGCAGCTAGAGGGCACCAGGTTGAGGAAACATACAATAAACCATCACACAGGAGCAGTGAGGTTACAGGGAACCAGGCACAGGGCCTTCTCGGTAGTGGCTCCCTCCGTGTGGAATGCTCTCCCAGCAGATGTCAAGGAAATAAACAACTATCTGACTTTTAGACATCTGAAGGCAGCCCTGCATAGAAAAGTTTTTAATGTTTGATGTTTTACTGTGCTCAGAGTGGCTGAGGCAGCCCTGTCAGATGGGTGGCAAGCAAACAAATAAATAAATAAATAAATAAATAAATGCTACAACATTGGAGAGGGGGGGGGAGAGAGAGAGGGGGAGAGAGACTTGTACTTGTTAGTCAACTCTGTAAAAATAATTCTGATAAAAGCTTTAAATCATCAACTTGACAAAAAGAGAAATAACAATAAAGTCAAATATGATGGTGCTGGGACAGCATAATATGTAGAGGAGTGTTTACTTTATCAGACCTCCAAATGGCATAGGAAATTCCCCCCCCCCCCAAAAAAAAAAACACCACACACATAAGAAAGTTGCTGTTTCTCAAAAATTTCCTTTGTTTGAATTGAAGATCCACTGCACGACAACATTGTTATAACATTAACAACTCAGCCCTTTGCTTTTAAAATATGCAACAGCCCACCCCCATGGTTTGCTTACGTGTGAAGCTAGCGATCAGTGCCATGGCTTGTTTCATATTTCTGACTGAAAATATTCTGAAAAGGAATAAAAGATCTAAGAGCCTCTGGAACCCAACAGCACCAAGAACCTTGCACCAGATCTCTCTCTCTGTCTCTCCCACTCTTTCTGTAATTTTTAATATATGAAAAGGATTTATATATAAAGAATTCAAACTAATTCTGGACCTATGTGCCCATGACTCAAATTATTGATTACAAGGCAAGGAATACTGCAGGACATCATCTGTGTGGAGATGATGAAAGGAATTCCTTTAGAATGGGGGTCTTTTTTCCTTTCCTTTCTTAAGGGCTCACACACTGTCTCTTTGATGGACTGAGATGCTGTGAGGGTATCTAATCAGAGTGGTTTATGCGAAAGATTCCAAGTTCAATCGCTGGCATCTTCAGGAAAACTCCTTCCTGAAACCTTGGAGAGCGGCTGCCAGTCCGTGTAGGGCAGCCTAACAAGGGGAACCCACTAAGGGCAGCCCCAGGACCAAGGTGAGTTAGGCAGATGTGTGAGTTTGGCAGCAGGGTGAGAAGGCCTAGGGTACAGGCCTTGGCTTCACCTCTCCTTCCATTAACCCCCCTCCACCATACTCTCAATTAAAAAAACACCTTAAAAGTGCAAACACAGTTATGCCAGGAGGGGCACTGGGATATTCTTCTGTTTTGCATGAGCATCTCTGCTTGTTGGACAGAGGTCATGGGTGTGTCCAAGGAGCAAGAAGCTCCTGGCTTTCTGAGAACACATTTGTTCCCTTGAGGTCAAGGTGCCAGACCTGAGAAAGCTAAGAGAGGCAGAGAGGGTGGTGGATGAGGCCTTCAGAGATGTTATAGCTGTGTCCCACCCCCATGACATTTCCCCTACTGTCAGGGAAGAAATTAGGGTTTCTTGGAAGGAGAATGTCACTCTGAGGAAGGAAGAAACATTCCCTTACAAGGGACTGATTCCTTGAGGAATGAACAGCTACCCCCTCATTCCAAGGATACTCCGCTGGGGCAGGAGAGCGATCCTGGTAATGTGTGATTTTATCATGAAGGACACATGTACTTGGGTGTTTGATGAACATAAAGACCACAGGGCAGATTGCCTGCCTGGTAGAAAGGTTGTTGCCTAGATGGCCTGGTATGTAATGCTAGGGAGAAGTCAGTGGTTGTGGTGCATGTTGGCATCAATGGCATCAGGAAATGTAGGCATGAGTTCTTTGAAGCCCAATTTAGGTTGGTAGTAGGATCCTGAAGACAGGACCTCCAAGGTAGCTTTCTTGGAAATGCTACCACTTCTACACCCAAGGCCAGCCAGGTGGTGTCGGGAGGTGGTGTTTGCATTTGTTACAGTGGGGTAGGAAATATGAAAATAATGCCAATATATTTCACATCTGGCAACCAATGTGCCCTTTGCTTTCAGATAGTACATGGGTAGACGAGTCTAAAAAGTCTGGGACCCAAATTTTAACAGCCCTCTAGTGGCTATGGTGGCTTATTTACCAGAAGTAATGTATTTAGTGTGAACTCTAGACGTGTATACTGACTACTAGGATTATAAATGTGAAAGGACAGCTAAACCTCTCTGGGCAACTATTTAAGAGCCCTGGGTTCTACTCTTGACTCGTTTTTCCAAGCACTCATGCTGATGTCAATGGAATGTAGACTTGTGCTTGATTCAATGGCTGAATAGGGCACAACTGCCAAATATATAATGGAAGATGGAAAACTATCAGCCTGTATAAATTGGGTTTAAACGCCTCTCTGTGGTCAGCAGATCAAGACTCCTATGTGTTTCTTTAGTCTTTTAATAGGTAGTTTTAATTGTTTCATTCTGTACCCAATTCCAAAAAGTTACAGCAAAACAGAGCCAAATTTACCTTGAATTTGTACACAAGGCATGATGTTCTACAGTCTATAAAAATGTCAGGTTCCAGATGAATCACAGGGTAACATAGTCATGTATTCAGTATGAATGTCTGCAAAGGAGTGCCAAAAGTAGGTGGCCCTATAGGTGCTTTCTGTGATCAGGTTCTGCCTCCTATTGTTCATATAGATCCCTAAACACACATAAAGTATGAGCAGTGCTTGAGTTGCCTTGTTGACTGCTTTAGGCTCCAAAAAAGAACCAACAGGATTTGTTTCTGACTAGGGCCCTGCACTGAGACATGCAGTGCAATCCTATGCACATCTACTCAGAAGTGAGCTCCACTGAACTTAATGGGACTATTTCTGAGATGAGTAAAGGACTGCAACCTTACTTATCAGTGGTGTAGCAGAGCAGGAACATGGGAGTACAGGAACTCTGAGAGCAGGGGCAATTACTTCATCTGCCACGGCAGGTGATACTTCATCTGCCAGAGGTGATAATGAGGCTTTCAAGTTTTACTGTGACAGTAAAACAGATTATAACAGGAAAAATCAAGCTGAGTATGTGTGGTGGGCAGAAGAATAGTTCGTTAGTTCTTTCCATTCCTTTGATGGGGTTCCTACTTGTTTGCAAGATCGGTTGCATTTCAAACTAAAACAATCACCATGAATTCAGTGGAACTTTCTCCTAGTCAGTGATGCTTGGTACTGTAATCATGGGACATGGCTGATCAGAAATGCAAGCACACAAAAGCACTGTGATACCACCCTTTGCTGGACCTCTATTCGATGGCTGCCAGCTGATCCTTGTATATCAGGGGATTGTGTTATTGTGAGGGTGGGCGGGTGCATATATATGGAGATATTGTGTACAGCTGTGGGGTCTCTCTCAGGATGAGCTCTTGCACTTCAGAATCTGCTACGGCTAGTTAAGTCCATCAAAGGCAGTTGGATAGAACTGGGCTGCAAATATTTTAGGACAGGGCTGGTAGAGCATTGTCTCTATGTCTGTCATGTCTATATGCCTTTTCTTGATAGTCAGGAAGCCCTTCTTTTTCCATAGGTACATGAAACAAAAGGAATTGTAGCTCAGTGGTAGAGCATCTGCTTCACATGCAGAACATACCAGGTTCTATGCCCAGGAGTTTTAGGTAGGGCTGGCAAGAGAGACCAGTGCCTGAGATCTAAAGAGTGGATTCCAGTCCGACTATAATTTGACTCAGTCTCAAGCAGTTTCCCCTGCTTCTATATATCGAAAGTGTATTATACGACCCTTAATTAATTCCCTGAATATTCAGAACATCACTGCAATGATGTCATCTGTTTATGCAGAGGCAACAGGAAACCAGATGTCCTATCCTGGAGATCTCTTTTTTAACTGAGTGCTATACTAACGTCGAAACAGCACGGTTTCCCCCCTCGACTTTTAGTATAGGACGCAGAAGCCCAGGTTAATATTATGTAGATTCACACGGAGAGGAAAAAATGCGCTGAAACGCTAGTTAGTAGAACGGCTGGCAGATAAGTTTCACCTGGCATTCAAAAGCACACGAGCGTATGGAAAGGTTCAACAATCGTGCGGCGTGCTCCTGCGTTAAACACATCCGACCCGGCGTTGCAGACGCCAGTTCCACAGCCGCGCGAGTTGCGTAATTCGCTGCCTCTTCCGAAGGCGCGAAGCTGAAGAAACCCTCCGCCGATTACACACACAGACACAAACACACACACCCCACTTCAGTGCAGCAAAAGCAACCGCAGGCCAACCTCTCCCTCCCCTCGCAACCCCCTGCACTGTCGCCCGTCGCCCTCCCCAACGTCGAAGAACCACCACCAGCAGCCTGTGGCTGGGGACTGCTCGGTCAAGCCGCTCTAGCGGAGCGCCGTTGCCCTTTTAAGACGAGCCGTGTCGGGCCCGTGACGTCAGAGGAGTGCAGAGATCTAGTCGTCGCGGCCGCTGCTCCTCTTTCTGTTATTGCAGGCAAAGGCTGGGAAGAGGAGGAGGAGGACGAGGAAGAGGAGGGGTGGCTTCTCCGGCTGCATCGAGCGGTTCCTCTGCCTGGGCTGCTGCCCCCCTGGAAGCGAGGGCGCCGCCGCCGGGCACTGCCCCCTTGCCTGCCTGCCTTCCTTCCTCCCTCCCTCCGCCGAAGAGTTTCCTTTGTATTTCTGGAGGGCTTTGCCATGCACAAGGATCCGGCAGCAGCAGCAGCAACGGCCAGCGGCAGGAGGAACTTTCCCAGCCGAAGCCGAATGGCTGCGAAGGGGGCGATTTAAGAGCGAAGTCCGCTTTCCCCTCCTGCCCGACGAGGCGGCGGCGGCTGCAGCAGCAGCGAGGAGGGAGGCAGGCAGCCAGCCAGCCAGCGCGGGCGGGGTGGGGGATCACCCGGCCCCCCTGAGACGGGGCGCTCAGCCCGGATGCCGGCGCCCCTGCTGCCCCCGGCGGGAGAAGTGCGAGGGTCTCCTCCCTCCGCTGGGGCGCCGCCAGCCGGCGCGTAAAGCTCCTCTGTAGAAGCCCATCCGAGGCGAGCACTTGGGCGAACTTCCCTCGCACTCTCCCTCTCCCGCCGTCGGAGTGCACGGCCCGCTGGCCTTCGTGATTATTTCCGTGCAATTCGGAGGTGGGGTGCTGCTTCGTCGTCTATTTAAATATACACGCGCGCGCGCGCACAGAGAAACTATTTTGGGCCAGGATCATGGCGATGAAAGGGACTGCCGCCAACACCGGGATCTTGCTCGTGACGGCCAACGTGGGATCCTTGTTCGACGATGTGAGTAGCGGGGCTGGCCAGGCGACCGGGTCGGGGGTGGGGGGCTCCTCGCAAGCGCCGCGCGCGCAGGTGGGGCCCGGTCACCTGCTGCAGATGGAGACTCCGGGCGCGTTCGTGCGCCCTGGCTGCTTTGGGCAATGGTGGGTCTGTGTCCCTCTTTCTTCCTGCTGGGGCATCGCTGGCGGAGTGGCTGCTGGCGACCATGACCGCGCCAGCCTGCCTACTTCCTTGGTGGCTCGGAAGCGGGGTGGGGGGTGGGGAAGGGGAGGAGGTCGGGGTTGAGCCCGCGTGGATTTTCTCCAGGTCCTAGCGCCCTTCCAGTGTCGGCTTCCCAGCGAGGAGAAAGCCCCACGGGCGGTTGGAGGGCAGCCCTGCCAAGCCGGAGCCCGTGCCTGCGCGGTGCCACTTCTGGGGATTGACGCCTTGCGCGTCAGACTGGGGATTCCCTTTGGGCCGCCCCGCTCAGGAAGCGGAGAAGGACGGAGGCGAGTCGCGCCGCCTCCCCCAGAGCGCACCTAGCCTGGCTGACCCGGCGCGGCCGCTCCGCCCCGCCCGGCCCCTTAGGCGCTCTTCAGGAAGCCGCGCTTGGGGAGGCGCTTGGGGACGGCGAGAGGGCCGGGCCCGCTGTCCTCGACAAAGTTTTCCCTCTCTGTTCCCTAGCTGAGGGCAGCCGCCCGCCGCTTGGGGGTGGGGTGGATTGGCGGAGGGGGGATGGGGGGGTCGCAGGACCTTCCCTCCCACGCACTTAAACACCCGGCGTTACCCTTTTAATTGGTGCATCCTTTCTGCAGCCGCGTTGCCCATAGGTACTTGTGCAGCGTCTTGGTTTCAACAGCCTCTTCTTGTGGTTTCCCTGCAAAACTTGCCTAGAGGCGGTTCACACACTTGTTTTGCATTACACGTGAGCAGGGCCGGTGGTCCTCAGCTATATGATCTGGCGGAAGAATCAGATGTGTGGAACTAGGCACGGAGGAAAGCCCTTAAGTAATGATCACCGTAGAAGTATAGTATCGGAAGGGAGCACCTTGTCCAACCCTCCTGCAATGCGGGGCTCTTTTGCCCAGCGTGGGACTTGAACCCACGACCCTAAAATCAAGAGTCTCATGCTCTACCAGCTGAGCCGCTCTGAAATAACATTGTGTGCCAAAGTGAGGTGAGGAGACACAAATTGATATCTGTGGAGGGAGATCTGTGATGGCCCCCCTGCACATAGTAATCAATTTGGGTTGTGCTAATCACCCAGTGTGAACAAGTGCTATATAAATGAAGTTGTGGGAACTGCCTTTTCTTTGGGAACTGCGTCTTGCTGTCTTGACAGACTGGGCCAGGTTTTGAAACCTTGGAGCATTTGGGGAATGGGAGAAGGTATGACCACAACAGTGTAAATGTGTGCACTATCTACAACCAGATTTGCACTCTTGATTGTAGGGAAAAAAGTGCTTTTGTGCTGCTAAGTTTTTCTGGGAATGAAAAAAGTTAAGCTATGTCTTTGTTTTAGTTGAAAGAAGGTTGTGCTTTTTTTTAAGTTGGTTGGAATTCTTTTTTTAAAAAAGTCACTTTCCCCAGATATATCTTTCAAATACAAATGCCCAGTGCCAAAAATAAAAGGTGGGGAAGGGAGAGCAGGGAAGCAGGGAGATGGCTTCATAAAAAGGTTTGTGCGCCTATGAGAGAAGTGGCTGCTAATTGCAAACTTCAGTATACAAAGGAATATGTACTAATGTTTGTTTTTCTTCCCTGTTCTATCTTTGTTTTGTTTTTGCAAGGAACAGCAGGTGCAAAAATAATGTTAATTGTGATGGGTGTGTGTGTGTGTATCAATTCCTCTAGTGTGCTAGCCCTATTTATAATCATTTTTCCACTGTACCCAGGAAATAAATAAATAAATAAATCTTGTATTTCTGTTGGTCAAAAACATCTCCTCCATATCTGGGCATTCTGAGTTGTTATCTTGATATAATTTGAAGTAACTTACAAACCAAGAATGATTGGGGTTTCTAGATTTTGTAAATTGCTTCCTGATGAGGATTTGGGGTAAAATAAATTCAGGTATAAAGTCTTTTTTTATTATTAAAAAATAATCTAATTATTAAGTTGTATCCTGGTCTTGGATGTGAACCCGGGGCACATGTTGTAGTAAGCTTGCTTAATATCTTGTTCCAGATATTTGGGTAAAGGATGGCAGTTTTAGTTTTTAATGCCATTTCTCCAGATTAGTTTAAGGTGTTGCATTACTTCAGTGTAAATGGAATGGTTTCATTGAATTTAGGTGGCTGTTCACGTTTTAGGGATCTTGGTTGCCTCCTTTATTACTAATAATAATAATAATAAATTTTATTTATATCCCGCCCTCCCCAGCCAAAGCCAGGCTCAGGGCGGCTAACAACAAACAAATAATCAAACAATCAAATAATCCAACATTCTAAAACATTTCATTATAAAAATTAATTAAAATCAAATTAATGGCAACCGTTAAGCAAAGTTCTGTGCAGGTTGCCAGAGGAGGGAGTCAGGCTGGGCCCTGACCAAAGGCCTGGTGGAACAACTCTGTCTTGCAGGCCTTGCGGAAAGATGTCAGGTCCCGCAGGGCCCTAGTCTCTTGTGACAGAGCGTTCCACCAGATTGGAGCCGCAGCCGAGAAAGCCCTGGCTCTAGTTGAGGCCAGCCTAACCTCTCTGAGGCCTGGGACCTTCAGGATGTTTTTATTTGCAGACCGTAGGTTCCTCTGTGGGGCATACCAGGAGAGGCGGTCCCGTTTATTACACTGACCTACTGCAGCACTTACAATACTTGGGGGTTAGAGGTTCTCCATAGGAGCTTTGCGTGTTTTCTAGGCCTAAGACTGTAGTGGAATCACGCGATGCTTTGTAATAACACATGCACTACTCACTTAGGACAGGTCCACACCATACACTTAAAGCACATGACCTCTTCCAAAGAATCCTGGGAGCTGTACTTTTCCTACTCATAGAGGTACAATTTATAGAACCATTAAAAACTAGTTCCTGGGATGTGGGGTGGAGAGCCATGTGCTTTTAATGTGGGGGGGTCAGATGCGATTTAAATATATGGTTTGGTGTGGATCTACCAGTACAGTAATCTTTTCTCAAACTGTTATGCAGCTTAGTGCGCTTTCAGTCAGGTGCTCCAAATGCTTTGAAGCCTGAGAACTGGAAGGAAAATGAGCTTCCATTGGCTTCATTCATTCTCCCATGAAAGAACAAACGATTCCTGCAGAACATCACACTAAGTGATCTTAGAAACATAAAGGAAAAAGGCCTGTTTCCAAGTAGTGGACTTCCCAGATGCCCCTGGGCAGTCTCCATGTGGGACATGAATACAACACATCTCCCCCATCATGTGTCTGATATTCAGTGATATATTGCTTCTCAGTCATGGCTAATGGGACTGTTAGTGATTATTTCAGTTGAGTCTGGATAACTTGATGTCTTTCAAGGGCTCTAAGGCAGTAGCCCTCAGCAGATCCTGTGGCGGTGAATGCCCTAAGTCAGGGGTAGGCAACCTAAGGCCTGTGGGCCGGATACGACCCAATCACCTTCTCAATCCGACCTACGGACAGTCTAGGAATCAGCGTGTTTTTACATGAGTAGAATGTGTCCTTTTATTTAAAATGCATCTCTGGGTTATTTATGGGGCCTGCCTGGTGTTTTCACATGAGTAGAATGTGTGCTTTTATTTAAGATGCATTTCTGGGTTATTTGTGGGGCATAGGAATTCGTTCATTTTTTTTTTCCAAAATATAGTCCGGCCCCCCACATGGTCTGAGGGACGGTGGACTGGCCCACAGCTGAAAAAGGTTGCTGACCCCTGCCCTAAGTTAACTATGCATTGTGTAAAAACAGTGCTTCCTTTAGTTTGTTTTGAAATATACTGCAACTCAGCTGTATACAATGTGCTATTTATTTATAAAATTCTCAAGATACTTTCTCACATGTTGATGTGAAAATGCTGGATTAAGCTTTGTTAGGCCAAAATCTATTTACCTAAAAGTTACTAAGATTTAGTTTAAATAAAGTAGGCAGCAATGTTTGATTTCCTTAGGCTGCATTCACATGGCAATGGCGTTTCCATTTTAATGGCGTTCCTCTAACTGTTAATTTCCATGTTGCCTTTCAGCTGTCACGCAGTAGAAAAGCCAGTTCTGGAACTATAGTGGAATATAGTGTATTACTTCAGTGTTATTTGCAAACAGATTTTTTTTATGAAAGCAACTAGCACAGAGAAAACTTATAGTGCTAAACTTAGACTATATTCCACTATGGTCCCCCCTTCCCCCCAAAAAAATTCTGGTGCCAAATCCAGAGTAGAAAAGGATTATGGATCAGCACAGCATTTGAAGTGGGGTAGTAATCCATCCCAATTACTTTTATCAGATGTAAATGAATCTGGCAAACTATTGAAGTGAAACCAGTCTATTTCCTCTCCCCACCCTACAATTTAGCACTGAATGAGCAGCTTTTCTAGCAATAGGTCTTCACATCTGGGCCCAAATTCAACGCAGGACTTGCCAGGTGTCAGTCCTTACAGTAATGCTTCTGAAATTAGAGTCAAGATTAATTTATATTCTTCCGAAAAAGAAGAAGAATTCTAAATGAGGAGTGTACATGACTGAGAATGAAACAGTCCAGACAACTGAGCGAAATACGACTGGTCTGAGGAGCATTTAGCTTCTTTAGTGGGGCCTGTAGATTGACTAGAAAGTTTTCATTGTCCAAGAACGTGCTGTTCCCATCGTTATCTAGAAGCCTGGTAACTCTTGGCTTGCTGAACCCAATCTGAATGCCTCTAGGTATACAATCCCTGCTTACTGTTCTTAAGAGCTGCTCCTTGGTGTGTCTCCAGTAATTTATAATGCCACACAGAGACCGAGAACCAAGTTCCACTTTTCCTTGGATGTGTCATTTGCTAGCTGTGTTAGAATTAGAGAAAACATGCTGGGATCTCTTCTTCAGCATTCTTGCTGCATGGCCCATCTGGAGTTGGTTCCTGTGGGTTGGAGGTGGTACCTCTCAGGGGTGGCTGACACTTTTCAACCCAAAGCCAACATTGACCCGTAGCCCACCTCTCATGTGTCACTTAAGTAATGAGTGTTTGGAGATGTACAATTTCATTCAGAAGTAAGTCTTGGTGGTCAATGGGGCAAACTCCTCAGAAAGTGTATACTGTATTGTATAGGATTGAAGCTATGTTCTAAAATGGGTATCTTGTGCATATCTGAGTAAACATGTATTCATTTGCCAGGCTCCCCAGACAGCCTGTTAGATTATGTCTGGTCTTTATTGAGCGTTCATTCTGATTTGTTGGGTAGGGAGTGCACACAACGATTCTGATTTGCTTACAGGGTGTTTATAAGTCTTTATGTTGGTCATTTGTCAATCCCTTGCTTCTCAGTGCATTTCCTCATCACTTTCCTAACTGAAAAAGGTCTGCAGGGTGGTGTTTTTTTAAAAAAATGGATTTGTTTTGCTGGCGCAACAGAGTTTCTTAATCCACTTCAACTGTGTAAACCTAAATTTTCTGGTGCATGTGTGAATCCCTCCCACAAAATACTGTCAGCCCAGAGGCACCCTTTGCTACACGTGCCTGTTCAGTGATGCTCATATGTACCTAAAACAGGACATTGCTTCTGCATGTGTAGAATAAGTTCAGCCTAAAGCAGCTGCATAAAGTTCAGCGTTGGGTAGGGATATAAAGTAGTCCGAACATTTCTGGATTCCCCCCCCCCCCCGCTTCTTCCCTAGAGCTTGTTGCTGTTGGAATCAAGGCTTGGAAATTGAGCGGTCAAAAATCTGGAATTGTGACAATAATTAAGAAACATTATGAAGTGAAATGTGACTGGTTTCGAGGTCTTAAGCTCTGAGGTTTGACATTTATAAACTAGCAGATGACTACTTTGCTTGTTTCCTATTACTTGGAGCGGGAAAAAGAATCTATTGTGTATTTGACCCCGAGATTATGATAAGTGGTTGCACTTAAAAATGAGGAACCACTATTGGTGGATGTGAACAATTCATTACATTTAAGAGATCTGACTGAAAATACATTTTCCTCCTCTTCCTGATTTTGTTTACAATATGATTTTGATTAGCCATAATAATCATTT